ACACACACACACACACACACACACACACTTCTCCGCCTCATTCTGTTTTCATTTACTCGTTCGTTATCTGACCAGCTTCAATCTTGTAGGCTACTCACTTCGTTTCTTGTAGCCCTCGAAAGGGTTTTGGAGGTTGATCCCTCGGTGAACGTGAGTTGTTTGGCTTTCTTGTCCGCAGCAGCAGAAAGCATTTTCGAATATTTGAATGAATCAAAGTGGGTCGTCACCGTCGATTTTCTCTTATGCTCCAACACACAGTTGCACGGGGTGCAGAATAGTTTCCCCCCTCTTTCGTGAAAGACATCGGGGTACTGCTTTGCCCGGTCTTTAGCAGAAATGTTGGTCGGTAAATGAGATGGATCAGATTTTTTCATCTTGGTGTTTTCTCTCTCGTGTGAGTTCCACACGTTCACTCTACGGTGTTGTTTACCTTCTGTGATGCGCGAGCTGATGACGTCACGTCATCATCATCACTACTTCACGTCAAGACCTATGGTCAAGAAGAGTTCACTTTTTTTTTTTTTACTTTGTGTGGAAAAATGCGGGGATTATGCGCCATTTTGCTGATTATGCGGTAAATTCTGCGATCGCAGAATCGCGTTTTTCTGGAAGGTCTAAGAAGCGGTAGCTTCCCCACAAGAACACTGCTATGTGTTGTAATGATCTTGATATCGCAACTGGTAGTTATTTTTAAGACTACACTTATCATGATTTTTTTGTAATCATTTCGTATGAAGCAACAATATGTTTGTGTTTTTTAGTTGTGGATGGTGCAAAGGGCGGTTCTTTAGTAGAAAAAGCTTTGCACAAGGAAGCAGTCAAGGCCATTCTTAATGGAGCGGCTGTTTTCTTCCCGGATAAACACGTCAGAAGGGACAAACTATTCGACATGATGGTGAGTTTAAAAAAAAAAAAAGAGTAAATATATATATTATAATAACAATAATACAAATATAACAATATAATGCAAAATGTGCCTCTTGCAGAAAAACATTACCGAACAGGATCAGCCAGAGTCAGTGAAGGTGACATTTGAATCGCTTTGCAATTACTTCAGGTAAGGATACTCTAGATAAACAACAAACACATTACAATTCTTGTTAAGATCACAGTGGATCAGCAGCATCTGCGTTCTCTCTGTGCAGTGACCAGGATCCAAGTGGCCTTCTCCTGCTCCCCCCTAAAGGGGCTCCCTCAGACTTTGACATCAGCCCCATACTGTCAGTAATGGAGACGTTGCTGCTGGTGGCAACGAGAGAGGTGAGGCCTCTGACAAACACACCATGTATTTACCATGGCCTTGTTTTTGCCCGATTTACTAATGTCCCTCTCTGTTCTCCCTTCTCTCAGTGTGAGGTGATGATGGTGGATGAGAACAGTGGAGCCAGCAGGACGGTGTTGCTGTCCTTGTTTTGGGCTCTGCAGGGTAGTCTGCTCTCCTGGTGCTACCTGCAACTCAAAGGAGGAGCCTCCACCGCCATCTCTAAGGAGCTGGCCAGAGACATCCTACTGAAATGTGAGATATTGCAAAATGTGTAACGTCACAGCTCCCTTTTTTTCCAAGGTTAGATTCTAGAGGTGTGAATATTTATTTGGTTCACATTCTGTTTCAAAATTGATTTTCGATTCGAAACAATTCCTGATTCAGAATTGATTCTGGAATCAGTACAAGGGATGGCAAGCCTATATATACTGTATACACACACATACAAGACAAGACCGCCGGGGAGGGGGGTGAAACACAGGGGCAGCAGGTGAAGACAATCAGGGAGACGGGAAAACATAGTAACGAAGGCAGGACAAGACATAAGGAGAAAATACATTTCAAAATAAAACTATAAACAAATCATGACAATATACAGATGTGTATATTAATAGGTCTGTTAAATATATATATATATGTCAATATGGAACTAAGTATCCAACTATGTATGTTTCCTTATTAAACAGTTAAGAAAACGAACATACGTTTTCTGAATTCAAGTTTCTCTGGTCGAAATAAACACTTCACAGAGTTAAATGTTAAAATATGCTAGCCCTACACACTTTTTTGCTTTCCTTTTATTCTGACCCACAATCCTTTGCACGCAGTTATGTGAGCAAGAGGGTCCAAGTTCAAGGCGAAATGTTATGATGAAATAGTACAACAGTCAAAGCCAAAACAATCAAATAAAAAAAGCTGATTTGCGTTGCAGCCTATTAGTATAATTTTAAGAAAGACAAAATGAACTCTGTCAGAAAGTGTGTGTGAATCAGGCATACAATGTACAACTTTCTCTCCTTAATTTGTGTGTGTGTATCTGTTGTATGTTTTGACGTACAAAAGAGATGACATCATTGTTTGATACTCGTTATTCTGATGATGCCTTGAAAACCATTTTGTGTGTGTGTGTGTGTGTGTGTGTGTGTGTGTGTGTGTGTGTGTGTGTGTGTGTGTGTGTGTGTGTGTGTGTGTGTGTGATCCTGGCGTGTCTGATGGCATAGGACTTATTGTGGGTTTATGTGTGTGTTTATCTGCCTATCTTGTATGTGTGACCTGTAGTATACCATACCATGATTGAGTGACACATGTGCATCTCTCACACACACACACACACACACACACACACACACACACAGGGATCAGACCAGCCAAATGTCTCTATCAAACCCCATGCAGTCCACTATCATCTCATTCCCTGGCATGGTGCACAGCTTAGCCAACCA